AACTTCTAAGTACTATAAAAGAGGAAACTCAACCCCTCCCCCCCTTCAAGATTCCTTTTTAAATCAATGACCTTGATAATTCCTGCGGTCCTTGTACATTTTCGATAAAGTACTTTTATAATGCCCCACTATCTTTGCCCGCAAAAAATTGGGTTTTTACCTTTGTAGTCTGCCAACAACTTGATCCTCTTCTTTAAAAAAAAGCTAAACGAAATCTGATCTCTTATAAAGAAGCAATTTTGAATCCTTATTTTTTCCTTGTACCTTCCAACCAGTATCATGCAACCACAGTCCTGTTGAAAGCTTACTTAATTTTAACGAAGATGTACCAATGATGTCTTATTCAAATGAGGCAAACTTTGAACAATTTTCTGCTGAGTCAAAATTCACACCTCATTTCTAGGTTTATTTTTAATGTACCATGCCAATTTTTCAAATTTTATAGGGGTTTGTCCAATATCACGAATATTTCCAAAATTAGTTATTAAATCAATCGTCTCTGTATCAATTGAAAGAACGAGACCGTATAAACTGCAATTTATTGGTGTTTCGGAAGGCGCCTTTTTTTTAATTCCTCTATCGAAAGCACAGTAAACAACAATGCACACAGCAGAAACAATTTGATGGGAGACAACTCACAGCTGAATACGTACACTCATGATCCAAGTTCATTTAAAGGTACTGCTTGCGGCAGTTGATTCGAGTATAGGAGGAGAGGTGGTACCTTTTGAAGTCCCAGTGACGAGAAATCTGCTTTTTACCCATCCACCGTTTCCACGGTTATCCCGTGGAATGTGCATCGATGAACATATTGAGACACCAACCCCAAACTTGACAACCCGGCACCAACGATGCATATTAAGCTGTGCATTCCTTCAACCAGGTAGTCTGAATCTTTCGTGACATTGCCACTTAGTGCTGGAAAAAAGAACTCATGGAAATGCTTCAGGCCACCTCTCTTTTATTCATCAGCAAAATGATCCTAGTTTCAAACCTAAGATTTCGCTTTTAGCACATTGTTAGTTCACTAACGAACTCCCAAGTTCACCTTTCGAGGTTCCTTTCCAAAACAAATTATAAACCAGTCAACTTACTTGCTGGTTTCACACACACACAAACACACAGATACGAATAGGGAGAGAAAGAACAACCAGATTACATAAATGAAAGTATTGTAATACATTGCGTGCACATTTGGCGGCTACATTCTCATTACAGCTCTCGCATTTAATATATACATATGTATATATGTATATCAAGTCACACATTTATACCATAAACACACTTCATAAGAGAAGGGGAACTCAGTAATCAATAATCGGGGCCTCTGAAATGATACAGCCAAAAGAAGAGGTATATATATATATATATATATATGTAGGGGAAGCAAGTTACAGTCTTGGTGATTCTTGGGAGGCTGGCGCGAGCACACACAGAGGTATTTACACTGGATTTTGAGGAAGTACACGGGATGATCGGGAAAAGTAGAGCTGAGGTAAGGGGGGGGGGAGGGGGGAGGGAAGAAGGCAAGGAGCGAAGGAAATTTGAAAGACACTCTTATCACCGTCTCCTTTTTTCATTTTTGGAGCTCATTTCTATAATAAGATAGTTGAAAGGGAGGGGAGGATACGGGAAAGAAGTTAATATCTATGTACACGGAAGGACAGTCTTTTTGGTTTAAAGAACCAAAGCCCCAGTTTGATTTGGTGTTGATTCGGTAGGGGAGCGGAAAGGACTATGGGGGTGGTGATGATGCTGATGGTGGGTTTGAGTGGACAAACTGGATATAACTACAATTTTTTGTTCTGCAGCCGTTGCTGAATCGGTAGCGGAGAGTACATCAACACCACCCCCGCTTCCAACACATCCAAGGTCCATTGGAATTGGTTTCTGATTTGAAAGACAGCATGATGAGGAGGTAGTGTTCGAAGTCGTAATGTCCATTGTAGGGTTCGAAGAATTCACACTGACACTGCTACTACCACAAGGCGTCTCACGAATAAACTCAAAGAGTAACTTGAATTCCTCACCTTTCTTGCCTTTACCCTTGACTGCAGAATCCAAATCGGATTGAGATAATTCCAGGACTCGAACTGCAAGTGGTGTTGCAAGCTGAGTTGATAGAGAGGGAGCCAACACCATACTAGCATTAGGAGAATTCTAGAATTAGAAAAAAAGCTTTAACCAAATGGAAAGATAATCTCCAAGTTGAGTTCTGGTCACCCGATTTCGTATACGAGCAAGTAGTACATTATAGGACGACTTTCTCACAAAGTAGACAAAACCAGATATCCCTTCCTAGGGCTTACTTTACTTTTGTCTCTACACAAAATGTCACTGGCGGGGAGGTAAATCATAGTTTCTCTTCCTTTTTGATCGTCTAATGGTACACCACTAGTCTATTTCAACTCTCGTTCTTCTGAATTGGGAAAGGTCATTGTATGGCGCTAGCCTTTAAGACCATCAAACATCTCTACACATAAAACCCACGCAGATTAGTGCAACATCAAGCACGCTAGTCGTTGAACAGCACGTTAATGAGCCCCTCTAATAAACCACAGCAATAAACACTAAAATAAATACCAGATAATGCCAAGATTACCAACGCACCTTTTTGATAAAATTAGTACTTGGTAGTGAAGGGATAGGAACAGTATTATTATAATTATCCTTCTCGGGAATGGAGATGAAAGGCATAAATCCAGTAGAAGCAGTTTTCGATGATCCACCGCCGACAAATCTAGGGGGATTCGACCCACCTCTCAACAACTCAGAGGTATGCTGAGGAGTGGGGGTTGAATTCTGAGGGGAAGCATAGTTCAGGGTGACGGAATTCGACGCCAGCGTCGGTAATTCGTCCTCATCGTCTTCCTCATCCCCTTCCTCGTCTATACTGTCGTCAAGATTATTCTGATGATGAGTACAAGAGACGCCAAAATCATCCTCATACAGCTCATGATCTTCTTCCCGATCCACAAAGTGAGGAGGGGAATTTCGAACAGACGAAGAAGCTGAGGAAGATCCTGAAGAATCTGAAGACGACCCGGAGCCGGAATTTGAATCAGACGTGGAACAACAGCATTCCCCGGTCGAGTTAGCATGTCTAACACTGCCAATGCCACCACTGGTTGTTGAGCTTCCAGTTCCTGTTGATGGATTCTCATTAACATCATCATCAAGTAGGACAAAGAAAGTATTGAGCCAACACTGGCCAATCTTTTTCGTCAGTACACCACCACCCGTTTTAGCCTTGATCTTTATCCGAAAATCCTCGAATACGGTCACTGGTTCATCCAAACGTATAAGGTAACTCCCGTTGTCACTATGATGTGTCGAACAAGGAATTTGGTAAGTGGCGACATCCGAATATCGATGACAATCGTAATCTGTTGCAACAGTGGGATCTAATTGAGTTCCTGTTGTAAAGGTGTTGACAGAACCAGAGGGAACGGCGCAGGGATAAACCAGAGCATGCTGTGTGCAGTGAACTGGGTCTTCAGAAGATACGCCGACAACGGCCGGATCGTGGTGATTGAAGTGGTTGTTCATTGGCAACCGATTTTGGTAAGTTGAGATACTCAATTCGAAGTCTGGAAAGGGAAAAAAAGGGTTTAGAACACTCAAATACTTTTGCGAGCAGAAGTCCAAGACCATTTTATATTTACATGGACATGTCAAGAGGCATCAATCCCCGAGCCATATGTGGTTCGTTCCACTAAACGTTATCTTAACAAATATAAGAAACCTCAAAATATCATCTGTTTAATCTAGCCGATTTCAAGCTTATGGTCAAGTGTCTGGATGTACTTTTCTGCTCACCATAACTATCTATTTCCTTTCTTAGTCAAGTTTTAATGTGTAAATTTTTTGAAAGACCAAGTACCCACAACACTGCTCCACCCCAACACCTTATACCCCCTGTCAAGTATAACTTAAAAAATCCCAACAAAATTATTTTCCAAATCAAATAGGAGTCCTCGCAGCAATTAACTGGGGTGTAAGGAAGGATATATGCTGGAGCAGTTCTTGCTAGAATTTCATATACACTAGACTCTCATTCATGTTGACCAGAATTAGACAGGGGGCGATTGATCCCCGCAGAAGTGGATATTCATCAATGGGCTATGATTTCGTGATCACAGACTGCAACACGGAACCCCACGTCGGACTTCTATTGCTTGGTTCATGTTGGAAGGAGGGGACTCGACCAATCTTCAATTAACTTTCCTCCAAGCTCAAAAAAAGTCATGAAAGAAAGTGCCGATAACTCACTTTGCACCCCATGTAGTTGATGAGGCACACCTTCAATTCGGATGGAGGTTAGTCGCAGGGGTGTGGGCTCGTACGTGAGAGCAGAGGAGAGGAGACGGCTGTAGTATTGAACATAGCGTCGCTGGCTAGGAATTGTCACGCCTTGGCCATTGCGTGTTCGTTTCTCTGCATAGAGTCGCAAGGCCTCTTCAGCATTCCGCGCTTCCTGTAACTCCAATAGGCAGGCACATACCATTACGCCTGTTCGACCCTGTTCATTAGAAGGGGGAAAAATATACAGTAGGTGGAGCAGTATTCAAATAAAAAATCACACCCCTATCACTACCAGACCTCTACACACCATACGTATCCATGTAACCATCTTTCAAAGAGGCTCGGAGCACATCACCGGGTGAATACGAGGCATTATTGAGTTTAACACAATTATTATTGCAGACGCCTCTAAGAATAGCCAAATAAATACAATATGGAAAAGGGAGGGAGAGAGAGAGAAACTGAAAGAGCTGCAGGAATGAACTTGTCGATGTAACGCCGGAAGCAGAGTAGAGAAGGTAATCGGATTTTACAAATAGTAATTAAAAATGGGTCTGATTTGAACAATAAAAAAGAGAAAATCGTCTCAAGGTTTATCTTTTATCTCCAGCAAAGTGTGGATCCATATTCATTCGTTTGTAATTACAAACGTGCAAATTGGATAAACTAGAGAGAAGATTTCGATCTAATGTCCAGGGGAAAAGCCCATTTTTTAACAAAATCCTGAATCAAGCTCCCATACTTCCCCGTTAATAAGAAAGACAAATTTAAAGTAAATATGAACTCTCACATATAAGTGACTAAGGTTGCATCTCTGATCTTCATTTAAGTGTATAAATACGCCTAGCGTATTATTCTTTGAACACTAGTGATTAAAAATCGAAGATGAGAACTCCCTTAAGGTTTAGAATTTCACATTATACACCTCTTAGGAGGAGCTCTGGAAAGATACATTGTGGAACAACACAAAAAGGGAGAGGAACCAAGGCGATCATTAAAAGTACAACGACAAACTGTCTTGCTTAACAGGTTAGAGTTAGGTCTGAAAAGGGGCCTTTGAGGGTGGAACAAACGTCACACCCATTCTTTAAGCACTTTTAAGTCTGAGTAAACAACGCCTGTTTAAATCATCTAAGCGATCCAATTTCAGGACCAAGACGTGCATGCACTTAATGAGCAACAGAAGAAAGGAAGGGAATACGGTTTTTTGTGTGACGGACTGCTAGCTAGAAAACACACGTTTGTTTTGTACTTTTCCCACGACCAGACGCGTTCACGCAAAAGGCGGTGAGAGAGAGAGCATTGATTATGAGAGAGAGACGTAGAGGTTTAAGGAACATAAGGCCGTGCGCGCAAACACAAGCTACGAGGCGGGGGGGGGGGGGGGGAGGGGAGGTGTTCAACGCGCTTTCGGTTGCATAACTTCCTACCACATGCGCCCGATTGCCGCACGCAAATCGCAGCGTAGCGGTGAAACACGCTTGGCCGCCGCGCCGAAGTGACGATCGATCGAAAAGTTCACAAGTGAGTGCATGCGCGCAGAGCACGATAACCAATGGTGTGGATGCACTCGCGTTTGCTTAGCTCGTGCATTCGCATGCACCGAAAGCAAAAGTACGCCTAGAGACTACGCACGACTTTCGCCTAGCTATGCAACGCATGCTAAGACGGACGCAGTACCACACTCTGAAGGTCATTTACGATGGCATGAATTTTGCACTGTGCGTTGTCTCTCCACTATCTAGCTCCATCTCTTTCTACCCCTCTCTCTCTCTCTCTCTCTCTCACTGTCTCCCAAAGCGTAGCACCATATTTCAGCGCTTTAGTTATCAGGGCTTAACAATAAGAACTAGATTTGAAACCGGAACAGTTTAATCACGCTAGAGAGTTAGAAAATAGGGGGGGGGGGAGAAAGGTTGGATTACCCTAATCAACAAACACACCTTCAAGACGACGTGGTGCTGTTATTAGCAATAGCACAAACAATAAGCATAACGAAATAATGGTGCCAGCAAGTGGTTAGAAGCCACAGATCTTACAATAATTATTTAAATGGGAACTAGATAACTAACCTTCCCGGCTTTGCAATTGATAGCTACGACATTTTCCGGATGAGCATTGAGGAACTGCATGACATCATGACAGAGAGCAAGGATTTGTTCGAATTGAGGAGCATTGTGGTCCGAAAAGGGATAACGAACAACCGGTCCAGAGAATCGATACTCGTTAAAGTCCCTCTCATTGCACCTACATAGAGAAAAAAAATCGATTAGATATAACAGTGGTTCAAAAGATCATTATAAGACCGAAATGGCGAAAAATTACAGGTGGTAGATTTTGTAGTGTCCTTTATGACGCAATTCAAAAAACCGCGATACCTCATCAATATGGTTTCGATAGAGACCCTCAATTCTCTCAGCGGGGAAACCCATGGCAATAATTCGAGGGGAGATGTAACTTAGGTCCAAATCGAAGCCATCTGCTTGAAAACGCTTTTTCTTTTTACTCACTAAGGATTTGAGCCGAGAGACCATTTTAGCAGGAGGGTGCTGCTGTTGAGGGAGGGTCAAATGTTGCGATGGATGTGCCGCTCTCATGCTCGAGAAGTGATTCGATGAGATGGAGGAGCTGGAAAGGAAATTTGTGCCACTATTGGCATTACTTGGCTGCATCATAGCCGACGTGGCCACAGTACTATTTTGATTTTTGAAATACCACATATAATTTCACTTTGCACTGGCAAGTTGTGCTGAATCTTTGGTTTTGACTACAATAGAAAGAGATGGTGATTATGTGAGACTAAGATTTCAAAGTCAGTTTAATTATTCGCGCTGCAATCCAAACTGATCTCTAAATGTCACAAATAAGGTAAGACCTCAATACTTTGATCTTCCTAGGTAGGGAGATCGATTGAAAGTACACACAAAGGGATGGGAATGGGCAGCAGGGGAGAGCCATAGATTGCAAACCACCATACATACACGTTTGTTAGAGCGAAATGTACTTTCTCACGCACAACGTCGCTCCATACGCAGTTTCACATCGCACAATTCTCGATTATGTGTAAGTGTAGAGACAGAAAGAGGACGAATCAATCCGAACAATTGTGAATCGAAATGAATCACAACAAGTACGTGAAAATGGAGATATAGAAAGAGAACATGTCTGTGAATAGGGTCAAAGAGTGCAGCAGAAGTCCACCGATGGGACCCACACGGTCTGTGGGAATGATAATTGAAGCTATATAATTGACAGGTGCTGAAAATCTGGTCTCATAGTACAACTAGTACAATATATACGGCCTATATGGCTTGAAATGTTGAGAACAAAATCAATAGAGCACACTGGTGTGCAGTGGAGAGCCGTCGATACCAAAAAACAATATTCGTTTTTAAGACAATAAAGGAAACCCACAATTGCGACAAGCGCAGATGAGGGAAGAAAAGCAACCCAAAGTAATACATTCAGTAAATTTCGAGATAATAATTAAGATTACGACACGGCGACACCGCTGGTGAAAGGAAGTAAGATAACTCTTTTTTTATTATATTATCGAGTGAATTTTGATAAAAATCGAAGCAAGCAACTGTGATAAAATGGCTAAGTACCACGATTCTGATTAAGGAAATATTATGTAAGGTAGCGCAAAATGGTTTAAACTTCGTCATGATAACACTTATTACTATTCCTAATTAGACATCAGTTAAAAGCAAAAATTTATTCCAAGACATATGAAACAAAACCGTTAACTTATTATGCTATTAACAATAAAATAACATTAATTGTATGACCGAATACAATAAATGATGTTATAATGACTACTTTTTGTAAAATAATTGTTTCAACAAGTAAATTTGAGCTTTAGAAAACCCTGAAAAACTTATTGAAGCAAGACCTAAGATAAGTCTGTAATAAATAATAAAATATCTTAGAAAAAAATGAAAATTTCATTTAAAAACTGTCGACATACTTTGCGCTATTTGTAAAAGGAGAACATTAGCGCATACGATACGAATTGGGTGAATTCGACAAACCCAATGAGCTTCATGATACCATTACAGTTTCACCAATAGAGATTAAGCCTTGGTTAGTTTAAACAAATACTGAAGGATGGTTTCTCAGTCAAGAAACGTTAAATAAAAAGCAAATTAATTAACACAGCGCATTTTTTATTGTTTTACAATACTCAGTTAAGGGCCTAAATTTTGATGAATCTTGCCGAATTGATAATGCAAATTCTTTCTTTAGCTCAAATGTCTCTTTGTCTTCAATGTAAATTGGAATTGGTTTTAAATTCAGCAATTTCGATTAAGAATTTGTATTAATTGAACAAGGTATTTTACCATATTTCTTTTGATTTTTGTTTCTGCGGAAATTAATGATAAACTTATTGATATGCAGCAAGTATTTTCACAACCTGGCCTTGAAAAATCGATTTCATTCCTGAATTCAAAACCTTTAAATTTCTTATCTGTTTTTTGATTCTTTTAGGAGTATGTCTCAGCAAATGGTACCTTGGGTACTTTTAAATGTCGTCTTCCCTTGGCATTCCAGGCGATTAGTTTATCCAGAATGGAGTACTTATCCCTCCCTCTTTTTAAATTTACTACTTTAAGCATAAATAAGTAAAAATTTAAACTTTAACTAAGGCCAACTTATCCTGAGATCCTTTATATTAATTGGAGTCTTGAGCGTAGGGTTATAGCCTGCAAATCTGGCTATCCACGTTCACCATTTATTAGTAAGTTCAGGTTGATTTAAAACTGTCCTTTATAAATGTTATCACTCTATTCCAAGTGTCTTCTTTGTTATATTAATGAACACACGCTATATCGTCCCCGTTTCTGTCAATTTTATTGAGTCGATTTTAGTCATAACGGGTGTAAACAAAAGATTTGACCATCCTCTATAAACTCTACCAAGATGGCCATGTACATCTGAAACATTCAATCATTGAAATATCAGTTCTCAACGTTAGATGTACTGGAATAATTTCTCAAGTTCATCCACGTTTTCGCACCTAGAGATAATTTTGATTGCCCCACACACGGAGCAAGCTTTGTCATTTGCTCATGTCGAAGTACTTTGAACTTCCATAATCTCATTTAAATTTCTAACCAAAGTTTGAGTTGTTGTTAATTCACGTAGTTACTTACTACTACCGATGTAAGCAATTCCAAGATAAAAAACCTTCTCGAGTACTAAGCCAATCCTCAGATATGATGATAAAAGAAGCGCTATAACAGCATATTAAAATTCAGCATAGTTTATATTTGTATCAAATGGCAGGCGTTTTGAGTTATCATTAGTCCTTTAGTTGACTTCAGGCTCCACAGAGGGGAAGGAAAATCAGAGTGGAAAAGAATCGAGATTGAGGAAGGGGGAACAGAAGAGTGCTCCAAAGATATAAAAGAGACAGACACAAAGGTAGAAAAAAAGGTGAGGCGGGTAATGTGAAAGTAGTCAAATATGACATACAGTGGGGTCATGGTAGCTTGAAGTCAACTGCCAATTGATGGACTTTTTTGCCGTATGAGCATACGTTGCTCAGGGTGCACCACGTAGAGGTAAGTCTATCGCACACCCCAAATTCAGCATAGTCTAACTCAAGAGATTCACATAGGAAGTTCGGCAGCATACGCGCTCATGAACAAACGGAACATTCACTTAATTACACACGATTTAGGTTTTTTTCAACCGATTTTAAGATCATATTAGCACATCATCGATCTGGCATTTGCACAACTACTGGCTTCAAATCTTTTATTAGTATCATCATCTACATCAAATCTCATATGCTATCTTTGTTCTTACCGCGATTAGAGTACCAGAAGTTTCGAAATCTACCCCAATATAACACTATACACCCTATAGTGCCTCAACCGAGAGCGTAAGAGAAAGAGCGGGAGACGCATAGAACTGAACATTTATTTCATAAAATTAACATACAAAGATCTAGAATGTACACACCTAGAGATAGACCTCCGCCTAAAATTGAAAATATACACAAATTACTACTACTACCACTACTAAGACTAATTCAACCACTGTGTACGTATATATGGCTAAACATGCCTGTTCATATTGGAAGTTTCGCAGGATACGACAAAGAGGTCCGCATTTCGTCTTATGACAACGTCGACACGGCAAGAAGCATCCAGGACACCCCAGACGCATACAATCACAACGATCCTCCATGGTAGCCAAAATTAGACCTCGCGAATCATAGAGGGGAGGATCGAAACTAGACAGCGAGAGAAAATGGACAATTTAAGGGGCACAAGGCTATTAAAAGATGGAAGGACGTGGAAAACAAACCTGTTGGTTCTGCACAGCTGATCATGCATTTCCATCTGTTTGACATGACCTCGGGCCATGTAGCCTTCCTCTTGGGTCCAGTTGATTGAAGCTGAATCTGTCGTTTCGGAACCATTTACCGAACTACTACATTAACAAGAAAGATAATAACTATTACGAAAGATTTATTGCATCTTTTTAGCAAGACACTTGTTAGCAAAACCCCCTTTTCTAACTCCTGAACATTGAAATTCACGCGTTTTCCCATCGTTCTCACCATACTTTCACCACCTTCAACTTAAACTTCTTCCCATCTTTTAATGGTATAAGTAACAGAGGATTAGATTCACGAGAGCTCGAAGAAGAATGCTATTCTTCGTAGAATAAACCCGACAAATTATCGAAGGGAGGCTGTGATTACTAGAAAACAAATATTTGTGAAAAACTTAAAGAAAACTCTACTGACTCTAAATAGCAGCCCGTTTGACACATTTTATGAAAGTCAAAATTCCGTTCACCTTAGAGTGGAAAGACAGGCCCGAAACCTTCGGTTTCGAAATAGAATCGATCTTCGGATGGAATTAGAGGTACCAACAAGAAATTCCCCACTTTACAGAGGCTCGAGTTGTGTTTGTGGCCAGAAAGGGCTGAGGAAGCACTCGTTTTTAGAACGCCAATTGACCAAATATTTTAGAGGCACAAAATTTCATTTTAATGTTAAGGAAAAGTGTCCAATTCCATCCCATTGGATGCTGCTTTAGAAGGCGTTGTGCTACAAGGGTGAATTGAAAAGCTATAAGGAAAGAAACCTGGATCCACCGAGTGGATATGGGAGACATAATTCAATTAAACGAATGGCATCAAAAGGGAATATCTGTCAAGTTCAAAGTTGAAAGGTCCGTTTTGAAGGGTATGGCCACTGTTTTTTTGGATTCAAATTGAGTGATAGTGGTAGACTTTTCGAGGACAAATAAGGGTCACCTTAAGTTATTGTGAAGGCGGTTTTTGAAAGAGTTGGAGACATTCCTCGAGAAAAAAAGACACAGGGAAACGACAATGCCTTTGAACATTATTCAAGACCTGTCAGGTCCCCGTTGTACGAAATTCAATGGGAAACACTTCCACATCCAGATCTAGCTCTCTCTCAGACTTTCTTCGTTTTCATAACTTCAAAAGCATGCCATTGCATGATACCAAGGACAGCCACCATGAGGGAACGCCCAGGTGGACATAGAGATTACAAAAGTGCATAGACAACACAATGAAGCCTATGCAGAAAATGCAGAATAAATTATGGAATTTGTCTGGGAACTTTTTGACTCACCCTCATAACAGCCATGTGCGTATGGAAATACAAGAACTGCTTATATGAATCATTTGGGCAAAACGTGCACGAGGGTATGAATGCAGATGTACTGTTAAGCGAAACCAGATGGTTGTCCGAAATTCATCTAGACATGACATAAAGGCCAAAAAATTCAACATTTTATCATATAGAGTGAGACTAAATAGCAATCATCGTAAACGCATAGTCATGCCTCAACCTCCTTTCTGAACACATCTGCTGCTCTGATCAACCCCCAAAAACGCAAATATCTCCAGCAAAGCGCGCCTGCATCTTTCTGCCTTTGTTTTGAAATGAAAAAGTAAACACGATGAACGAAATTGAAGTAGGTCCTCTCGATGCTCCCATGAGGAAAAAGAAACTTCTATCACCATTTCTTTGATTAATGAAGCCACTACCTTCGTGCTAGATAAAAGCGCAGTCAAGCAGACAGTACTCATCTAAACACAGCCTTTGTTGTTAGCAATCACAGTGGTACATTCTAGTTAGTACAAAAAGTGGAAGAAATTAAGTTTCTCTTAACGACTGCCAACTAGAGTGTTGTCTGCGCATTGCATAATATCTGAGCTAGGCAAATGAGTGACAATGGGACAGGCGGTCAAGTTAAAGGAATACAACAAGTATAAATTCATTTACCAACAATTGGATAGTCCAAAACCTACTTAGTTGAAGCAGTTTGCGTATGCTGTCGTCTAAATCCCCTCGTGACGTTTCCATGATTCCAGGTGAAAGAAATCTCCTCATTCATTTTTCCTGGATTAGTAAACTTGAGCCTGTTCAACTCCGCAGATATTGACGGCAAATTTGGCGTGGGCGAGGGAGAAGCGGGATGGACAAGAGGAGTATTAATTTCAGGTGAGGATGCCGTAGTTTTTCGACAAACCTGCTTCTTCTTCTTCTTTTTCTTTTTATCTCCCCCTCCAAGCGTTGAAATCGAAGAATCAGTCGGCGTAGGGCTCGGTTGTGTGCTTTCAAAGTATTCAATTGCAGTAGGCGTAGAAATCTCAGAAGGGATAACTTGGGTTGCATTTTCTGAATTACATTTCATCTCAGCAGTATCAGCTGGAATTTCATGATCTGATGAGGTAGGAGGAATAGACTCGCTGGAAACATCAATCGGTCCTTCCACTTTAATCGCAGCCAGCCCCGTCGCCGGTTTATCAACACCAGTAGGTTTACGAATCACAACTGAAGTTTTACCGATTGAAGCAGTGTCTTCAAGAGAATAAGCAGATGTTAAATTATCACGGTAAGATTTCAAGGCGTGAGAGGGCGAGGTGCTTGTGATACAAGCTTGTAAAGATGCGCAGAGATCAGCTTCAGAAGTCTGAAACAAGAACCTAGATAAATATCGATGCTTGACGATTTGACATGAAGTAATAATAAATTAAACACGTACCGACGTTTCAGTCTTTATTACTTGATGTTCAGAGGAACCAACTGCAACTTCGGGGATGGCGGGTTCTTCTGTCTAGAAATGATTTAACACAACAAATGCACAGTAAACAATTAATGAGCATGTTATAACCTAATTAAGTTCCCCCCCCCCCACCCTAAAATTCCAATTCGAAAACTGATGTACTTGAGATTTTGTTTGATGTTCTCTTAGCTTGCACAATCGATTTATATACAGCTGGTATTAGTACTCTCTCTCTCTCTTCGACCTTGATCAGCAATCAACTGCCGCCCTAGAAACTGCAATTGTCTGCCGTTAGCCAATTGTTATCCACGGCTCATGTTGCCTCAACAGGTTTATTCCTATCTAACACAGTTAAAACATTACCCTTTCGACCCTTCACCAATATTGACCATTAGTCTATGGAATGTTCTTGGAATTCCTTGATTTTTGCCTACATTTGTCGTAAGAACTGTGAAAGTTCACGGCAAACATACGTAAATGCAAACGAGCAGTCGGACAACTAGCAAGCCATTCTAAGATGCTGAGCAAAAATTGAATTCTTAATATTATACTCAAGTCGTACCACCTACCCCTTATTATGAAACAACTAGACATGCCAATACACACATAGATAAGCTGCCACTAACGCAACACTTACCTCCACGGGGTGCACCCCGGACAACGTATTCTCATACGGCAAAAAAAGTCCATAAACTGGCAGTTGACTTCTGACTTTAGTCTGCCATCACCCCACTGTATGTCACATTCGACCCCTTCCACAATACTCATCTTTTCCCTGCCTTTGTGTCTGTCTGTCTGTCGCCTTTCCATCTGTGAATCACTCTTCCGTTCCCCCTCTCGACTTTATGTGACGTTGCTGCTCCTCCCCTCTGTGAAGCCCGAAATCAGCTAAGGGGCTAATGATAACTATCAAAACGCCTGCCATTTGTTATAAATAAATAAATATTCATAGATCTCTCACCCCAAATAAGCAGGTGCACATTTCAATGGAATACGACCTAGTTACATGCAAGAAGCAATCACTGAAATTCCAGGCAAAAGCCTACAGTCTCACTCGTTATTTTTTGATGAGGTTTCGGGACTTTTCTTTTCAGATTGAGAGAGTTAACATTTTAAGATTACTTAGAATGCTACTTCAATGCACTTGAGTGCACGTTTAGTCGAAGAGGACAGATGTGCGTTAGCATAC